ATCTTACAGTGGACATTCTCAGGATGGCCTTTCCTTCACCCTCTGTTCCATTTTTGTTCCTGCATTTCCTTTAGACAGGGACAATTCTGGGTTAAAAATTTTTTGATGGGTAAGTGGACCCATCTCTTCACTGGGGGCCATGTCTATCTACTGAAGGTGGTCTCTTCAGGTTCTGTCTCCTTGCTGTTGGGTATTTCAGTTAACAACTTTTACACACACACACACACATACACAAAATGTGTTTGAGGTAAAATATGAATAACAGTCTAAATCAGAGAGGCAGGTCATTCTCCAGAGCACACTACTTACTGGCTGAGGCCAGCACACGGGAATATTTATTTTATCTTGACGGACTGCTAAGATTAGAAAGTTTTAAAGGCCTAACATCTCTCAAAATCCAGATCTCAGAATTCTAACACTGGGCTTGTGTTCTTGGGACAGCAGTCTGCTGTACCTGACTGACAGCCATTGCCCTGATCGCTACATTCACAATCTAGTTGTGTGTCACCACCACTTATCATTTTTATAAATTCGGACTTGTTTTCTGGATGCATTACCTTCTTGATTGATCTTCATTGTATTTGAATTTCTTAGCTCTGCTTTGGTACACATTAGAAAAGCCAGATTAAAGTCAGAAGTACTACTGTTTAAAAGTCTGCAAGGCTTATTAAGAATGTGAAGCATTTATGTATAAAAGTCAGTCCTGGTTCTTCCTCCCATCCTCATGCTCCCAGAAATAAGACTCAGACTCAAAATATATTTACCAATACCTCGGCCATATAGCTAGGCTCTTCTTTGACTAGATCACAATTTTAAAATAGCCCGTTTATTTTAATCTCCATTCTGCCACATGGCTAGTTACCTGCACTTAGGTAGCACATATCTGTCTTGTCACATCTTCCTGGGTGAATCTCCTATACCTGGCATTATCCCAGAATTCTCTCTGCCTCCTGAATGTCTGACCTTCTTCCTGCCAAAGCCATAAGCTATAGGCTTTTTAAGTAACAGGTGATGCATTCATACAATAGACAAAATATTCTCTGTGTATTTATATGCAGCATAAATTAAACTAATAAATTTATTATTAGATACTCTTTGTTTTTCGAGACAGGGTTTCTCTATGTAGCCCTGGCTGTCCTGGAACTCACTCTGTAGACCAAACTGGCCTTGAATTCAGAGATCCACCAGGCATTTGCCGCTGCCACCCCTCCCCCCCAGCTAGATTACTAGAAATTCTATACACTACTGCATCTAAAATTGAATCAGCTTTAATAATTGCTTTCTAAGGCAAGCACTCTTTATGCTTGGCATGCTATGTAACTAAGAAGATTCAGTAAGTTTTTAATCTTACTGGCTAAGGCTGTGAATAATGTCTTTATTTACTAGTGCACTGCAGAACTAAGTCTGGGGATGAGCCGAGCCCTGTTTTCTTTATTTCTTTCCTTTCTGCCTCCACTCCCAGTCTCTCTGTGTGCTGAGAAATGAATCCATGGCTTCATGCAGGAGAGACAAGTGTTGCACTGCTGAGGCACATCCTAGCACCGCTTATTTCATTCCTTGAAACAGGCTCGTACTGATCAAGTCAGCTCTGAGAGCTCCTATACTATAGGATACTTGGCCAATCTGAAGCCTCCAGATGTGGAAATGAATGAGTGAGGAAATCAGAATGCCACCAGTGTGGTGTTTGTACATGTTTGAAGAAGCTCAGAAGAAAATGACTTTGAAAAAGGAAGCAATTGTCTATGTTGCTTAAAGTACCAGCCATGTTCCATGGCAATAAACTGTGTGCTTTCATCTCACAGTAAATTTCTTGAGGTTGCAGACTAACAGATTCAAGTTCAGATATTAAAGTTTCTGCTTAAATTGTTACAGATAATTGAACAATCAAGTTAGAATTTAAACAAATCCAGTCTGAGCTCCTACTCTGTGCCAGGCACTAGCAAGACTAAAAGCTTACCCTTCTTCATGGAACCGACTGGTGCTTCTTCCTAGGACATGCCAGGCTGCCAGTTATTTGTACGTGTTCTGATCAACAGCTTTGGCTTCATCTGAATCGTGGGCTTTAGGAATGTTACTCTACTCCTTGGATTAAAGGATGGAAATCACAAGGATCACTTATTTTTAACTTATGTAATCCAGCCAAGCACTCTAGCACTCTCATATACACTACTTGTAACTACTGTATGCAGATGTATATCCATACTGCTCTGCATTACGTCTGATCCTAAAAATAACCCTATTAACTGGAGTCTTTATGAAAATTACACATATTATCATAAGCGTATCCCCTGGCAGTCTCCTCCTGTATTATAGTATTCACTATAAACTAGTTATGTTTAAATTAAGCATGGTGGCTTAAATACCTGTAATCCCAGCACTTGGGAGGCTAAGACAGGATGATTACTACAAGTTTGAGGCTAGCCTGGCCACAGAGCAAGCTCCTACCTCAAAAACACGCAATACCAACAAAACTTTACTATTTTATGTAAAACTACATGTTTATGACATGAAATTGTATCTGAAAGTCTTAACTCTTTCTTTTCCCAAAGATTATGACAATGAAGAGATCTTAACATATGAGGAAATGTCACTTTACCATCAGCCAGCAAATAGGAAAAGACCTATCATCCTGATCGGTCCACAGAACTGTGGCCAGAATGAACTGCGCCAGAAACTCATGAACAAAGAAAAAGACCGCTTTGCATCTGCAGTTCCTCGTAAGTTTGGACACACTCCTGTTTTCCTGTGCTTTTCTCAGAATCTTAACTACACAGGAAAATGTTCATTTTATTGGCACAGTGTCAACAAAAGGAAATTTGTTTAACTAAATTTGTTGGCAAATTTTTGTTAAATGTTAAGGAATTTAAATTTTTCGTAAGTGTATGACACTAAGGGATTTTCTAAATAAATTATAGTTTAGGCTCCTTTCCCTATCGCAAAGGAAACACAATACCTGATTCTTCAAACTGATATTGAAGATAGAAATTTAGAACTAATTTCTTAAAAGAACTTAAGATTACATGGTACCTACTCTAACAGAAATGAACTTTAAGGATCAATGACTTGGCAGTATTTTATAGTTATAAACAAACTGAATCAAGGTAACTATGATTAACTATTAAAACACTATAGACAATTTTTGTTCATGTCTTTATAGGAATAGTAATAAACACATAGGCCCTTAACACTTCCTCAATTCACTGTTTCATAATTTGTGTTATAAAATAAAAAATCTTCCTGGGTTGATTATCCCTCTTCTCGATACTTTAATTTTTTTTATTATTATTTTTTTTGTATTTATTTATTAGTACCAACAATTTATTTTATTTTTATTTATATGTATGTTGGGGGAGCAGTGTGTGCATTTTAGTGCACTTGCCTGTTAAGATGGTTCCTTATACCCTGGAGCTGGAGTTACAGGCCATTGTAGGCTCCCTGCTGTGAGTGTTAGGACCTGAACTCAGATCTTCTAGAAAGACCAGTACATACTAACCACTGATCTATCTATCCCTCCCGCCCATTGTGTTTATTATTTTATCTGATTTTGTCTGCTTAGATACAACTCGGAACAGGCGAGATCACGAAGTAGCTGGGAGAGATTACCACTTTGTTTCACGGCAAGCATTTGAAGCAGATATAGCAGCTGGCAAGTTCATTGAACATGGTGAATTTGAGAAAAATCTGTATGGAACCAGCATAGATTCTGTACGACAAGTAATCAACTCTGGCAAAATATGTCTTTTAAGTCTTCGAACACAGGTACAACTAGAATTGTGTTTTTTAGAGTGTTAAACTTGGAGGACGTATTTTGTAAAGTTATCTAGTGAAACCTGTCTTTGACCCAAGAATGACACAGATTATTTAAGTCCTTATGTGATTTTCTATTCACTTTGTAAACTCAAATATGTAGCTGAATCTCTTTCACTTTCAAAATGTATATATTTTAGAAACTTAAAATACAGTTAACTCTGGTACTGACTATACTTAAAACGTCTTCAGAAAATACCATTTCTGATCTGAGAAAAATTGGAAAATTTGAAAGTTGTTCTTTAGTTTTAAAAGCCATTGTTTCAAGGGCTCACTGATGTCACAGTGACGGCTCAGTGTTATCTGAGTAATAAACCTTGGATTCACCTCCTTGACAGAGTAAACCAAACAAAATTACTAGCCAATACGTCTTAGATTCCTATTTTAAAAGGTACCTGTTGAAATTTGAGGTTTTAAAATTGGTGTTTGCCGTGGAAACCTTTTGCTTTTTATTAACAATTCAGTTTTAATGTAGAACATTGATTAATGTGCTGGGTCTGTTGCTGATACCAATTCAAACCACAAAATCAAGTGTGCATTAAGTAGACATAGACAGAAATTGATTCTAAAATGGCTTGCTAAAATAGCATTTTTTTTCTTTGTTTGCTTGTTTGCTTTTTTCTTTTTCATTTTTTTGGGGGAGGCTTGGGGTTTCTAGAGGGCAGAGGTATTTCAACCATTAACATTTAATTATTTAAGGAAACTTTTTCTTTCTTTCAGAGTTCTTTATTTAGATTAACAAATATTACTATAAGACTCCATTAACAAATATTACCACAAGACTTCAAGTAGCTTAGCATATTAATGTTTGTTCATTTAGGAAAGGGCATGTATATAATTGGTTGTTAGAGCACTTGCGTTTGATAATGCAGAGACAGGATAGTGTGAATCCATAGGTCTTAATGCATATAGTCTGCTTTCTCGTGGGTGTACTTGGCTTCTGTATGGGAAGTTTTTCTCTCTGGTTTTGCTTTTTAGTATCTTCACCTAAAAAGGTGAAGATACTGCCTGGATTCCAATTCCTCAAAAATGGATCTTACTGTGGTTTTATAATGCATGTGATTTATTACCGTACAGTTGTAATCCCTTCAATGTCTTTTACCTCTGTTTCAGTATCTAGAACACTAGGCTAACGTAGTATATGTGAATTTATATTTAAATACATTTACAGTGAATGAAGACACTATGAAGTATTTATGATGAAATGCTTGGAAACATTTATTTATAAACATCTTAGCAATCTATATTATTGAGAAGTAGTCTGATGATAGCAGTTATTTCAATAACCCAAATATCCTTGTTACAGTCCTTGAAGACCCTCCGGAATTCAGATTTGAAACCATATATCATCTTCATTGCACCACCTTCACAAGAGAGACTTCGGGCGTTGTTAGCCAAGGAAGGCAAGAACCCAAAGGTACCCTTGTCATAGTGCTAGGTCATCACTGACATCAAGCAAGCCTCTGCCCTCCCCTGCTCCCGCTGCTGGAGCTTTGAAGCTGTACAGCATCAGCCATCAAGCTGATTATTCTTTCTGTCACTTGTCCCAAAACTGCCACAGCTGCAGCTGGCTGAACCATGGCAGCTCTCCATATTACAGGACTGCTCCTGTCTTCCCCAAACATCTCTTACTGCTAACCTCAGATTGATGAGCCCCTCCAGAACGCCTTAACCCCCTTTACTCTCCAAACACACCTGACAGGGCCGCCTCCTCCCTACTCCAAAGGTCTCAGCAAACTTCTCTCATTAGCTGCTCGACATTTGCAAGGTTCCAGAATTGAGTGCTTCTTTTCCACCCAAACCTTGTTTTGCTTTTCTTCTCCTTGTGTTCCCACATGATCTGGAACAGAAAGGGGGAAAGGTATTTAAATTATTTTAGATATTTACTGGATGTGTCGATGGAGACCACATTATACATATGGTTTTCATCTGCATTTTCCTGAAAATAATGAAAATCTTTTCATATGAGCATTTGAGCATATTCCTCTGTGCAAGCCTCAAACATTGTCATTATTTTAAAGTTAGGTTGCTTATATATTTGTTTATTAGCATTATTTGTTACTGTGTGTATGTATGTTTATGTTTGTGTAGATGGATGTATGTGTGTCATGATGTGGATGTCAAGGTCAGAGGTCAACTATTTGGCATTGGTTCTCTCCTTCCACCTTTCCATGGGTCCCGGGAATTGAACAGATCAGAAGTCTTGCAGAGGAAGCACTTCTACCCACTGAGGTGCATTGGTAGCCCCTTGGCACGTGCATATATTGCAGTTACTCTCTCCAGATCTCAGTTTGCTTTTTGTTTTGGTTTTTTGTTTTTGAGATATTTAGTCTGAAGTTTGTTGCGTAGACCAGGGTGGCCTTGAACTCAGAGGTCCACCGTACTTACGTCTTCTCAGTGTTGAGTTTAAAGTCATACATAACCACTCCCAGCTCTGTCTTTTTTTTTTTTTTTAAATTACATCCTTGGATAGTGAGAAGTTTTTGTTTGGTTTGGTTTGGCTTAGATGTAAGGCAGGATCTTGCTATGTAGCTAGCTCAGGATAATATGAAACTGTCAATCCTCCTGCCTTTCCCTTGCTCACAAGTACTGGGAGTATAGCCATGTGCCATAAGACCCTGCCAGAGAAATGTTTAATTTTAATGAAGTTCACTTTTTCACTTTCTTATGGCCAATGAATTTTATACATGTCTAAAAAATTGTGAAGTCATTATCCTGTGTTTTCTTGAATATTTTAGCTTGTGTGTTTTGGTTAAATTATTCATAGTCTTAGTCTGATATGATGAGGAAGTTTTGTTTTATGTCTTTGTTGAAAAGCTGTCTTTTCTGTTATTTGGCACAGTACCTGTAGTCTGTATGTGTGTGATGTGCATGACGGTTGGGGTATACATGTGCCACAGCACACACGTCGAGGTCTCCGTTACCTGTCGAGTCACTGTGTTGGCACTTTTATTTCTGGATTCTATTTTGCACTTAGACTGATTCCATACTATTTTGATTCCTGTAACTTTATTATTACATCTTGAAAAACAGACAACAAAGAAGAATGAACTGCCAGTGCTTAATACAACAAGGGGTAAACCTAAAAATACAAGATGCTACTTTTCAAAACCTCAGACTCAATAGACCACAAGTTGTATGATTCCATACATTTAGGACATCCAGAACAGACAAATCTGAATACATAACATAAATTACTTAGTAATTCCTTAGGAGTGGGAAAACAAGGTTAATGGCTACTACATTATAAATATTTTAGGTCGTGTCTCATTTACTGTTTTATTGCTATGAAGAGACACCATGACTAAGGCAACATTTAATTGGGAGCTTGCTTTCAGTTTCAGAAAGAGCTTATATTTGAGGCAGACAGAGACAAGGCCTGGTGTGGGCTTTTTAAACCCCAAAGCCCCAGTGACATACCTCCTCTTCTTCCCATCACCCACTCTGAATGTAAAAGTGTCTGCTCTGCACCTGCTGGGTAGAGGGTGGTATATATAATTACCTTTTTAGTCCACTTACATTTTTATGTCCAGTGTTATTTCTTATAGTACTTTTATCACGTAACTAGTGGGTAAGCACGAATCTTAGTAATGGTGTTACTTATTCGGTCCAAAATGTAAGCCATCAGTGAACCTCTTGTACTGTCAGTTTTGGAATCTGCCTTAGATTTTGGGCTTTAAGTTTGCTGACAATTGATCTCAAGCTTTGAGTAGACAGGTTTCAGCAAAACTGAAGCAGTGCTTGGTTACAGTGAGAAGGTCTCTGCTGTACACATAGATCTTCAGCATTTAAAATCACAGCATTTCAAGTTAAAACTGTCCCAGAGTTGTCATGTTTTTACTGTGTTTTCCTTTACCAGTGAGTGGAGTCATTTTATGAGCCCAAACTTAAAAATAACATAAGACATTTGGTCTGAAGTTTAATTAGCCATCTTGATAGACAAGGAGGATTTGGGGTAGTTTCCATTTTTTGACCATGAGCCCGATAACTGTAGGGTTCTGGATAATTTTGCACATAGCCTTGCCACTGGTTTGTCTCCATTAAACATTTCCCTTATTCAGTATTCTAAAGTACCCTGTTCTATATTATTTCCAATACTCTAGTGGGATACTTTTTTGTATCTTAAAACTCCTTTGCAGGACCAGGCAGGCCTATAGCAGCATACACCTTTAATCCCAGAATTCAGAAGGCAAAAAGTAAGCATATCTCGTATGAGTTTGATACCAGCCTTGTTTACATAGGAAGCTCCAGGATAGCCAGAGCCATACAGAGAAACAATTCCTTGGAGGGGGAAGGGGAAAGAAAATTAAATAAAAAATAAATAAAACTGTTTTTAGTGGCACCCAGTGTGGCAGTATGTACTTGTAATCCCAGTATTTGAAGCAGAAGGCCAAGAATTCCAGGAGCCTAGGGATAATTAGACAGAGACAGAGACTATGAATGAAAGAATATCTTTTGTACATTGAAAACAGTCCCAGTATATTATTAATCTTGGATTGACATAAGATTTTCTTAGAGAAATATCAGTCCTTTAGTTTTCCCATGTTAATTCTGTCTTGTAGTACAGGTAAGGCATTTTTGTTCTTGTTTTTGAGAAAGGGTCTTGCTTTGTAGCCCTGGGTGGACTGGAACTATGTAGACCAGGCTGCCCTAAAACTCAGAGATCCACCACCTACCTATGCATCCTGAGTGCTGATATTAAAAGGTATGCACCACTAGCCCTAGCAAAAGTAAATGCTCTTGTGAAGAATGTTTTAGAGGCATTTACTCTAGTCAGAAAGTTGGACTCCAGCAAGATATTACCTTTGCTTTTTAAAAAATATTTATTTATGTTTATGTGTGTAGATGTTTCACCTGCATTTATGTCTGTGCACCACATGCCTACAGTTACCTAGGAGGTCACAAAGGGGTGTCAGACCCCCTGAAACAAGAGTTAGAGATGGTTGTGAACCATCACCGTGTGGATGTTGTGAGCCAAACCTGGGTCCTCTATAAGAACAAGTAGTGCTCTTAACTGCTGAGCCATTTCTCCAGTCCCAATGTTACTTTTAGATAAAGGTCATGATGCTCCAAAATATTTGAAAATGAAAGTTTTTAGGGAAGTCAAAATAATCACCTGTGTTTTTCAGGCATAAAGATAAAATGAAAATACATAAGAACAATATGTGTTATAAACCAGGGTTCAAACACAAATTCTCAAGATGCTGATGGTACCAAGATGGCTCAAGAGAAGGGTTGGGAAGGCACTCTTGAGTCTATAACAAACAGGAAAGCCACGTAGTGACCCTCCTGACTCATTGTGTATCCTCACAGTCTTTATGTTTTCCTTGCAGCCTGAAGAATTAAGGGAGATCATTGAGAAGACTAGAGAGATGGAACAGAACAATGGCCACTACTTCGACACTGCAATTGTGAATTCAGATCTTGATAAAGCCTATCAGGAATTGCTTAGGCTCATTAACAAACTGGATACTGAGCCTCAGTGGGTGCCATCCACCTGGCTAAGGTGAAAGAAATGGCTATTCTGTGTCATCATGATACAGGAACTTTATGATACAAACTGTATTTGGCAAACCGCCAACAGGAAAGATAGCCTTACCGCTGAGAGTTAAGCTTTTAATCTAGTGAGAAAGGTCCATTAGGCAATTGGTACACAACACTTCCTGCACGTTGCTTTAGGGGTCCTTGACTTGTTTGGAGATTTAAAGTGGAAACTTTCTTCAGAGCATTTCTGATTTATCCTGGTAAAACCTTTTGTTTTCACCTTTCTGACTCTTTGCCTCTGGGTCAGATGTCTATAAAAAAACATGTATGTATATACGTAAGAGTCCATTGTCTCACATAGTTATGAATATTAACATTATTTAACATTTAACTTAAATGACTTCATGGGATTATTGAGAGAAGGGGCTGTGCTTCTGTGCACTGAGAATAACAGTATTTTCTTAAACAACTGACTTAGTCATCAGAAATATTTCTCAAAAAGAAAAGGAGAAAAAGGTGCCACTTTAGTTTGGAGCAACATTTTAAGTTTAAATTTATTGGTTACATCTTTCCATTCTGAAAAACATTCCATTAGCGTGTACAGACAAGTTTTGTCCAATCAGTTTTGCTGGGCATGGAAGTGCATGCCTTTAGTCCCAGCACTCAAGAGAGAGTGCACTCAAGAGGTGGATCTCTGAGTTCAAGGCCAGCCTGGTCTACAGAGTGAGTTCCAGGCCAGTCAAGTCTGCACAGAGAAACCTTGTCTTGAAAAAAACTGAAAAAAAAAAAAAAATAGTCCAGCCCTTCAGCTTGGACTCTGTGGATGAGAATACAGCCTCCAGTGCAGTTACAAGTATACGAAAGATAGAATTTTCTGAATTACTTTATTAAATTGTGATTTGACTCCTTGCTCTGATAAAGAGTTCATATAAACTATGTTGATCGTTAAAATTTCTTCCTTGTGATGCAAATATTTTTTGTCAGTGAAAGGACGTAACACATTTGACAGTTTCTGCATTTTCATATCTGAGCACAGAATTACATCTATGACTGTGCTATGTGTGTAGGTGTCAAACTGGAAATTGTACTGTATACTGATATTTAATACATCAATAAATAGCTGTGTTCTGCATTGGAATAAAATTTTATACATACATACACACTGCAGAAATACTGACAACTGACTTTGAGATCAGTAGGAAGGAAGTCATTGAGCATTTTAGAAAAGGACATCAGAGCAGTGTTTTATTAAGCGTGTACAGACAAGTTTTGTCCTAACAGTCTTCCTTGTGACTGAAATACAGCAGCTTGCTAAATCTTAAATGTTCATGCTAATGGGATTTTTGTACTGGCTCTTTAGCTATAGCTTTAAAATATCCACACAGAAAGTTAGTTAACTTGTAGTCTTCTCAAGCCTTTAAGGAAAATGTTCTGTGTGACAACCAACCTCAAATGTGAATGTCTTGATTTTATGTAACTACAGAATTTCATGTTCCCAAAGCTAAACACTGGAATGACACTGACTTGTCACTTAGCACAAGCAGTTGTTGTTAATGTCTTATCAGTGCTGTTTATGTGTCTGATTTCTCTTCTGGATAATCTTATTGGAACAAATGTAGAGTGTTTGTGATGTCTTTTATGTTCAGTTTTGCATGGCTTTTGTAGTTGGCTGGCAAGTGTGTCTATTAGAAATCCTTAAAAATAATTTTCCTTAGGAATAAAAGCACATTCTTGGGTTGAGGGAAGGAATGCTATAGTCTCAAGTCTGAACACTCCCAGTTTACAGCAGGAAAAATGCAAGGTTCGCACCCTTGTCAGCATTGAGGGTCAATTCACTTAGCACTTAAAGGATTAAATCTTTTCAGTTTTTCACTGTTTTTTCTCCTCAGGAATGAAAGGTAGTCTACGGTCGGTAGAGCTTTGTGATCTGCATGCTGACTGAAAATACTGACTGCTGAGACTTAGTACATACCTGTAACCCTATAGCAAGACCTAGAGTTTAAGCCTGGTCTGAGTTACATGAGACTGTCTCAAAAAAATAAATAAATATGTTTTTTAAAGAGAAAGAAAGGAAGCAAGGATGGAAGGATGAATATTGGATTTGAGTAAAGTTTTAAGTTAGTGTCAATGCCACTTGGTGACAGTGGGGCTATGTGCTATCAAGACTTCCACACATGACCTTTACATTAGAGCCTATACCCAGGCACATGTCATGCCACCATGTAGTTTAGACTGAGATTCTCAAGGTCAGTGAGATCCTATAATTTTTCTCTACTTGTAAGTAATGATAGGATAGAGTACATCCTGAGCTTTTGTAAATCCTAATGGTTATGAATGTACTAATGCTCAACATAGTCCCTAAACAGTGGAAAGTTAAGCTATGCTAAACAAACAAACAAAAAACCAACAACAACCTTGTTTTACTTGTGATTGTATAGCCATTAGGGCCAATTCAATTTCCTATCCCTCTGTGGTTCTGATTGGAAACTGCCGTGCCAGGGAAGTCTTAGCCACTTACAAAAATGATATTGTGATTGGCTGGGAACACAGCTCAGTTGGTAGAGTGTCACCTAGCATGCACAGACCCTGGCTATGCAGAAAGCCAGTATGGGTGTTGATGGGTGTAATCCCAGCATTTGGAAAGTGGAAGCAGAAGGATCTGCAGCTCAAGGTTACCATCAGCTACATGAGATCCTGTTTCAGAAACAGAGCAGGTGATACCGGTTAATGGCATGTCCTCTGGAAATCCGAGCAAGGAAGTACCTTCATTTCTTAGATTTTCATACTTCAGAATAAATAGGATGTTAGTCTTTAGACTGGTCCAGATTAGCTTTCTATGAAAATCTAGTGTATGGATTGCTTTCCTTCTCTCATAGCCTAAGGAGTAAATACTGATAAGGAATGATTTGAATGTAATTGTTCGAATGTGTGGAAAATATAAACCAGGGATTTATCCTTAATGAAGATAGCCACTCTGACATTTGTGGTTGATCTCCCTTTGTACTGTCTTGTTTCTGCACTCTTTGAGATGTCATACTGCACAATGTATTATAAAAATAAAAAGTAAACCTATATTTCAAATTGTAAAAGCCACTGGACACTCTGTTTTCTTACGTTTCTATCCAGAGTTTGTATACATACAGACCACTCTCCTTCAAGGGATTGCCAGGATCAACACTGCTGGAAACTCTGAGTGGAATACAAATTACACTGTAAATGTTATGAAATGTCCTTTATTGGCATAGATAGTCCTATTTATTGGTTGGAACAAACAAGGAGCTTGCTGTTTTGAGACAGGATCTTGATACACAGTCCTGACTCTTGGAACTAAGTAGACCAGGCTGGCCTGGAACTCATAGTTCTGCCTGCCTCTGCCTCCTGAGTGCTGGGATTAAAGGCATGCCACCACCCCTGGCCTTTAAAAGTATTAAAAATAGGCAATTTAAAGTTGAGCACAAAACTTTTCAGAGGGAAGAGATATAAAACAGGCAAATTTACCTTAGGGCAGTCAGGGATTGAGGATGTGAGTTGGCACCTACTATACTTCTGCTGTTTATCCCCGAAAGGGCACATCACAAAGTTTTTATGATATATATGCAACCTGACAAACTCCAGCTTTCTTTTCCATTCCTGATCTATCTCCTTTGGATCAGCTCACTCCCAGCCAAACTCAACAATATTTACCCACTATTTAATCTTGACTTTTTAATGTGGAATCATAAAGCCATCTAAAGTTTTAGCTGAATGTGATGGTGTGTACCTACAATCCCAGCACTCAGGAAGATGCTGAGTTCCAGACCACCCTGGAACATAATAATAAGATGGCATCTCGATAGGAAATCATCTCTAAATCTGTAGACAGTTTAAGTAAGCCAGGAAAGCTCCAGAGCTTTACTGAAGTAACATGAGAAATCTAAATGCCTTTGGTCCAATGCTTTCCAATAAATGAATATCAATAAATAAGTAAATAACCTAAATGTGGGTATCTCCAAAAGCATTGCCTAGTTAGCTCACGGATTATGCCTGTGAAATCAAGATTCCACTGACTTGGATTCATTCATTCCACCTATGCAATTTAACCTATATAAGCTGCTCCATTTTTCCATATACACAACTGAAATGGTACAGTTTACACCTCACCAAGTTACTTGCTGTACAGTCACGTAAGTCAGTTTTTCCTTTCATCATGTGGGTCCTAGGATGCAATTCAAGTTGTGGGATTGAACCATCTCACTGACCATAGAAGTTTACCTACTTAGTTTTTTGGGGTTTTCTGGTGTGTGCATGTGAACTTGACATTTTCTATGAGCCACATCTGGTTTCTTACAAATCAGATCCTCTGAGACAGGCTCGCTATCTTGCTCTTAACTAGAGTTTTAAATATGGAAGAGATGGAAAGGATAAAAAGGATGTGGGATGGGGAGACTACTCAAGGGTTTGCCAAGAGTATGAGTTCAGTACCCCACCCAGAACCCATGTAGGAAATAGCCTAGTAGTGCATGCTTATAATTCCTGCATGAGAATGCCAGAGATAGACCCCTGCAGCTTGTGAGCCTGCTCGTCTAGCCTGTTTGGCAAGTTCCAAGCCAGTGAGATTATCTCAACAAAGATAGACAGATCTAAGGAACAGCTCCAAAGGTTGTCCTCTAGCCTCCACAGACATATGCAAACATGTATGTGCACACACCAAAAAACAAAAAAATTGAGTCAACTATGGTCAGTGAGATGGCTCAGTGGATGAAGGTGCCTGTCCCTAAATCCCAACTTCAGTTCCATTCCTGGGACCCACATGACGTAAGGAAAAACTGACTTATGTGAACTGTGCAGTGACCTTTGCGCGCGCACGTGCACACGCACACACACACACATTTTTTATAAAACTTAAGTTTGGCTACTTGGGCTTCCATTCTAGATTCACTGTCACCACTTTGAAGCTTTTTAATTTGAAAGCAATTAAACTCCCCTGTGTCTCAAATCTTTCCTCTCTGGAATATTTTTGGACTTGGGATGTGACTTAAGATAATCCTTGTTTAGCATGAGGCTGTGAGTAGGCTCCCTAGCACCGCTTTTAAAAACAAACAAACAAAAAACAAACAAAACCTAGTGATTTTGAGAAGATAAACACACAAATCAGTAAGTACCTGGCAAGTAGTCCTAAATGCTTACAAAATCATTTAGTATCTACTGTGATAGCAGTGTTGGTGTCACCCTCATAACTAAGAACTATGCCGTGCCCAGGCAAGCCCAGAGTATACAGAACTGGTTGTATTAAGGTCTGAGTACTCACAGATCATCATGCCAAATCAAGCAATACTGAAACCTCAAACACTACTTGGACTGTCTAATGGCATCTCATCTTCATAAAAGACAGAAAACTGCTATTGTTTCTAAGACAGCAAAGTTATCTGATTAGTCCAAAATAGGAATATTGTTCTTAGATTACGAAGGAAGTTAAGAAGCCTACATAGTACTGGTGGTCACTTATTAGTATCCCAAAATGCAATAGCTGTCTCAAAGTAAATCTAGTAATACTGGAGTGGCAATAAGGTCACTGATCTGAGCATAAGGACACAATCACAATTCTTAGCTAATTCTCAAAAAGAAAAAGAAACGATGTTGTTTTTTTTTTAATCATTTTACTCTGTTCATAAGTCACATTTAAATGGGCAGAACTGTTCCCATTACACAGACATCGTGCAAAGAAAAATAGGTGTAGAGCCGAGGAGACCACAGTCACAATGGCTGCACAGCCTCAGACAACAGCAGTAAGGTTTGCAAGTGGGTAGGAAGGAAGGGTGCTCACAGCATCTGCCTGAGACCATGAATGTTTATAGTATTTCCTAAAGTTTTAAACATCAAATTATTGTAAATAAGATAGTATGACACTTTCACAGAGGAAATTCTGTAAGTTGCTGGGCAGGTTTTACAAATCTCAGGTTGCTGAATTATGATACAGGAAAAAATAGTCTCACAAGGCATTCTGATAAATCTTACAGCCAGAGAAATTCTTATGCCAAAATAAATATCCACACATACCGAACCTACACATTGAGTTAAAATGGAGCTGATGCTGGGTCTCAAAGGAGCAGAAGAGGGCAGCTACTCGAACAGCAGGTCCTCATCCTTCTCTTCAGCCAGCAGGTTGGCAGGCTCCATCACCTCTCCAGCTGCTCTCCGACGCTCCAAGTCCTTCTCAAATTTTTCCTTGATAATCTTTTTTTTCTCCTGTATTTTCTTTAACCTATAAGAAGGGGACTTTCTGAATGTTGTTTCAGTGCAAAGAAACTCAAATGTCTTCAGGTTCTGTAACTAGGCAATAAACATGGGAAACTAGAATCTGAGTTTCATTTTCAGTAATTTAAAACTCATCTCAAAATGTTTGAGGAAAAACACTAATATCTGATTGCAGTAACCCTATGCCCTATCCTATATTAAATAAAACTTGAAATCCATTCTGTAATGGAACAATTTTGAGCATTTTACATTTTTTGAGTCACTAAATCCCTCAACATAAATCCCTCAACATAAATGATAACTACAGTTCTATGTTACACTGAGGTGTTTCCAGAGCTCAGTCCAGCATGCTTCCAGTTTCTTACCTCACGTTTTATGTAAAGATAACCAACCCAACCACTCCTGTTTAAAGAATACTCTTCCTACTTTATCTGAGGCATACATTTTTATACCATGTTTAGTCTATATGCAAAACATGAGACTGATCTCCAAAGCCTGTGAAAGTACAGTAGTCCTGCTCTCTGCAGGGATACAGCCCAAGACTTGCAAATCTCAAAGTTTGCATATTATGCTTTTTCATGCATGGCCAGTCAGCCCTTTGTAGCTAAACTTTCTATCTGTATACTAAAGCAAATGTGGTTAAAAATTGTTAAAGTTTAATTTGAAAATTGAGTATAGTAAGGGATTAACAATTATTTCCATAAATCAAAATGTTTACCTCTTAAAGGAAACACAGGAAAGAAAAACAAAGAAACCACAGCACCGCTGTAACTTGACAGCTGGTATCTACTCTGGTAATGGATGGGTACTAAGTGACTGACACCAGGTAGTGTACAGGGTGGGGATGTTAGATAAAAGGATGCTTCACCTGACGGCACAGGACTGCACAGTCTCATGCTACGTCACCTGACGGCACAGGACTGCACAGCCTCATGCTACGTAGACGAGCATACAATTGAAAACGAAACTCACATATTAGATCTCTAATTTTTTTTTCACATTTTTGGACTGCAGTTAGCCACAGTCAACTGAAATGGAAAACCAAATGCAGGCAAAGGGGTTATAATGTCTTCTTTCAGTTTTCTTTCCTCTGGGTGTATATTCTAATATAGCCCAGGATAGCCTTAAGCAACTTACACTCTTGCCTCCTGAGTTCTGGGGTTATAAGCAAGTGTTACATGCCCAGCATTTCTTTCTTGCTTTTTATTTAACAGAATAAAATACCAACTGTGCTTATTCAAAAGAACATTAAGTACATTTAGTCACTGAGCAAACCAAAACAGTACATATGGAAAGCACTACAAAAAAAACAGTGAGTGTCCATTTCAACAAACCTATAGAATTCTTCTCGCTCTCTCTCATCCAGTTCTGTGATGATATAGGCAAGGGTGCGTTCAATCCGGGGAATGATTACTAGAGGTTAAAAACATACATATGTGAGAACTTAACCACCTTTTAAAAAGATCCTCAGTATTTATCTGAATAGTACTTACTATTTTCTAATTGAAGCATTAATGTACACAATACAGTAAACTTGGAAAACAAAACAAAAAAAGTGAGATGTAATCTAGCCAAATAAAATTACCTTGTAGATATTTTGGTATGTACCCTTCCAGTATCTTTTCTATGTACAGATACCATACTGGGCCAAAACAGATCCAACACTGGATTCTAAGTATACCCGAACAGGTAACAGTAAGCTACAGATGTTACCTTAAAATACAGGAGACTATGTTCAGTGCTGCGGCGACCATTGTACGTGTCATTCAGTTCTGCTTAACACACTGTGTTCCTATTCTTCTGGAATGTGAGCCCCTACATTTGAGAACTATCAACCTTACTCATTTTGTTCTGGTGGGAGTTCAGACTGACACTATAAACAGCAGACAAAAAATAGGTTTCAGGGATAAGGATGTAGCTCAGTGGTAGAATACCTGCCTAACCTGTGCTAAAGCACTACCAATAATATGTCCATATACTAGGGCACCAGCTGAAGGAAGTTCTTTGCTTCAGTCTTTGTTCCTTTCTTACCTAAGGCCGAATAAATGTTTCTTTTTTGGAAATAGAGTTCTTCAGCCAACAACATTATTAACACAATTGTACTGTTTTAAATAATGGAATAAAAGATAGAAAATAAATATAGCAAAATAAGACAATAGCATAAAGGTGAGATTTAAAGGTAAATCAACCAATGGACATAACCTAAGAAAGCACTAAGGCTCTCAAGGAACAGAATGATCACAAAAGCTTGACAGTTGGTAACCTGAACTCCCTCAGGATGCACACGTGTGTTTTCGTACTGCTGGACACATTTCTCTCCTCACTACGGAGAGGCCGGTGTTACCTTTCAGCCTAGTGCCTGAGTCCTAGCTGCCTAACAAGCTGGCAGGGAGGAACAAAGCACCTCCCAGCAGCTTTGACTCACCATGCTCAATGGCATTCACACGCCTGTTGGTTATCTTAATGGCTTCATCCAAAGTAACAAAGGAAGTCTAAAATAAAAGGACAAATTCTTAACAAGCATGTCTCCATGATCGGCATACCTATACGCTTGGCCCCATTCAGACTGTACTTGTACAAAACACTTGGGAACCCAAAAGACAACTACCTTCTTTTCAGCCTGCCTTAGAAAATGAAAATTCTCATGAGATTTCTATAGAACTAGTGGTATTTTCATGGAGAAGCATTCCCTCATTGCCTAGGTATGTATTAACTAGACACATACACAAACCATGTCATATTTACGTTACGTCTGGTACTGACCACTGCTGTTCTTGTCTAGCAGAGCGGAGTTGTACCACTAACACATGCATTTTTATTAATAAAAAGCAGAGAAGCCACCACTTCAGAAGTCAGATCGTTAGCCTTGTTTCATACAGGATCATTTGAGTTGAGTGTCCCACATAACTTGTCAGAGCGGGGCTGGGCCCTCACTGCTGTCACTCACCTGCAGGGAAGCCAGTTCCACCAGTAGTTCCACTGCTTTGGCATAATTCCGCTTTAGTTTAGCCAGCTGCTCCCCACCTCTGGCTAAACCGGTCAGTTCATAGCCTGAAAGAGCCAGTCAGACAACATGTTTAATTAGAGAGTAGATAATCCTCCGTGAATTCCCAAGAGGAAGACAATTCAGAAGGATAACAGACATGGAAAGACAAAATCACTAACAAATACCAAACACAAAATGCCCACTCCCAGCTCTCATGAGCAGGTATCTACTTACCCAGAAGGGCACCAGTTGACAGACCAAGATAATCCCACTTGGTGAACCAAAATGAGTTTACTGGGCTCATATTACAGAGGCATGAGTTACTTATACAAGTATGGTAACCCCACAAGTTGCCTCTCAGGAAAGCCGCCCCCTAGCATGGTTAACTTCCTCACAGCTACAGAGTTAGGCCCCACGCCAAGTTAGTCTTCCATAAGCTAAAACTATCTACTCTGGCACCCCAAGAGACCATGTATAGCTAGAAGGGAAATACATTGAGGGATGGCTAGAATTTCAGCTAAGGATCTAATCCCTACTCTCTCCTCTTCTGAGGGAAGGTCCACAAGTCGATCTTGAGGGTCTCTTGCAGGTTACCACAGCTTCTCTGATTCGAATAGTAATAGCTGGTTGTTGTAAAAATTTTTATTTTACAAGACTACTAGAGTAACATGATGTTTTTCTTCCTCAGCCATCCAAAACAGACTCAAAGGTGCTTTTTTTGTTTTGTTTTGTTTCTTTTTTGTTTTTTGTTTTTTGAGACAGGGTTTCTCTGTGTAGTCCTGGCTGTCCTGGAACTCACTCTGTAGACCAGGCTGGCCTCGAACTCAGAAATCCGCCTGTCTCTGCCTCCCAAGTGCTGGGACTAAAGGCGTGTGCCACCACCACCCGGCTCAAAGGTGCTTTCTAAGACTGAGTTTCCTCACACACCTTTGCTTTTCCAGGATCTCAATGACACACCATGACGTGCTTGCTCCCAAGTAGCTTAATGCTTACTACACACCCTTTGCAGACATCCCCCTGCTGGGGTGCTGCTTCCCTGTTGTGGTTATCCTATAGGTGCTCCCACAAGTCCAGCAGAGACAATGTTACTTCCTGTAACCTGCCTAGGATGCCAAGCTACCTTCTTCCAGTCACACCGTCTGACTGAAGACTCCAGAGACATGCTGAGATCCAGGGACACATGCCAAGATCCAGAGACACACGCTAAGTCCTACGGACAGATCCAGACCTTCCAGCTACAGAGGAATGCTTTTGTCAACGTCAAATAGCTAAAGTTACATGTTAGTAAGGAAAATATGTCTATCTAGATTAATCAGCTGCTATTACCCTCAAACTGTACCACTTGTATTCAATTGATTCAATGATCCCTTGCCTTCCCATCCTCCACCTCCAACTCCCCTTACCCTATGACTTAATTGTGCTAACCCCTTTGGCCAAAATAGTGCTTTCTTTTGACTTCCTCATACAAAATTTTCACCACAGATGACACAGTGACACCCCCCCCCCTTTTTTTTTAAAAAGCAAAGGGGAGGAGATGTGGGACTTCATAACCATATCTTGGTTCTTGGCTGGGCATGGGCCTGGAACCCCGAGACTCCAAGGGAGAAACGGCAGGAGCCTGGCCACGTCCCCAGAACCCAGGGTCTTGACACGTAGTCCATTCTCCATGGACCTACACTGTTCAGTCACTTAGGCCATTAGAGCCCCTCTCAAAGTGTACAGGTAGAGGGTGTGACTACAGGCCTCAGGCCCTAGAGAGATATACATACTAATGAAGGCCAGAGGGCAGAGCCAATTAAACCTTCCCCAGAACCTCCTCCTTTCTCCCTCCCTATTTAACTCAGGCTGCCCTGAGTTTCACGGAGGGGGGGGTGGTGGTGGGGGGGATACATCCAGATCAATCTACCATCTGCTATGACAATAAACCCTTTTGGAACCAAAAGAAAAAGAAGGATATCTACACTTACTGTCAGTTCCTTCGTGGTAATGTTCAAACACTGGTAAGGTAACACCTGTTAGAAAAATAATGAAGATGTGTATATGGACTCATAGACTGGGCTGGAAGTACTTTTTTTTCTTTTCTTCCATTGGGTCTGGTTCCTCTGTACCAGACTGTGTAGCCTAGGCAAGCTGTTCTTCTTTTTAAAGACAAGATTCTACTATGTAGGGCAGGCTTCCCTAGAACTTAGAGGTCAGCTGCCCTCTGCCTCCTTAAAAGGGTGCTGCTTTCTATACTAAGTATCAAATACTAGAAATACTAAATCAGAAACTAAAAAGAACAAGAAATTAAGTTTAGAACTATAAATGTTTTCAAGTAATATACTTAAGAATTTGTCTTCTCCTGCATAGGGGTTGATGTCAAAAGTATCCCCTCTCCAGGAAAAAGACATCAGGACGGGTATGGCCCTCATGCCTCACTGGACTACGACAGGGGGATGGAGCCATTACAAGGTCCCCTTCAAATACTGGATGGAGGTCAGGCCTCTATCCCTGCCTTTGCAAGTTTAGAATTGCCACAGCCCTTCTATACTTAGAGAAGGGAGGAGATGTCTGAGGCAGCCCTGCTTACCCACTGAAGGCCTAAAATCAGCCATAGGCCTAAAATCAGCAATAGGGCTGTAATGCATGTATACTAACACCAAGTCTTGGGTCTCAGTGGAAAAACATTGAAACAGATGGCTATAAGCTAATGTCAACAGGCAGCTTTTGTGGAAATTTATAAGCTTGAGTAGTCATAGACCTTGTAAATAGGTAGCCTTGGCAGACAATACCAACTTAGATAAGGACAAGCGAGTCATAGGCAGAGTCATAGTGAATTGTCCCCTGAACCTTCACCTAGCCAATACCCGGTTCTGAAGATATTTGTATTCCCCATGAACACCCACACTCCAGTGTCATTCCCTTCCCCGCATCCTGCTTTTATGTGTTTATAACCCCTGTGTGAATTAATTACGATTTGAGAAAAAAAAAAAAAAAGGACAAGTGAATCATAGGCGGAGTTTTAGTGACCTGTCCCCTAAACCTCCACCCAGCTAACACTCTGTTCTGGAAGATATCTGTACTCCCCCTGAACACCTACACTCCGATGTCATCCCCTTCCCCACATCCTGCCTTTTTGTGTATATCACCCCTGTGTGAAAAAGTAAAAAGCTTGATTTGAAAAAAAAAAAAAAAAAAGAATTTGTCTTCTCAAGAGTTTGCTTCTTCTCAAAATTCAAATAATCCTAAGTACCAGAACTAGGTTGCTAAAGTCTTAACATGCCATCAATTTGTTTATAAGTTAAGAGAAACCGGGGCTTTGTCATGTAACTGATTAGCTGCAAACTCTCACCTTTACCCCTCCAAGGATTAAGGTTGGTCAGTTACCTGCTACATTGTCTTTCTTTGCTCGAATCTTCACCTGGGCTTTATTTACATTCTGGATAACTGTGGTGCTGGGGGGGGGGGGGGGGGAGAAAAAGAGAAAAAGAGAGAGGGAACAGAGAGAGAGAGAGAGAATATGAATGAATGAATGTAGTCTTGTTTGCAAAAATAATTCTACAAGGACCCACTGGATGTTGAAACCAGGAATGAATAAGAAGTCACATTAATGTGTCAGTAACCATCTTTTTTTTTAAAGATTTATTTATTTATTATATATAAACATATATTATATATGATATATATACAGAGAGAGAGAGAGAGAGAGAGAGAGAGAGAGAGAGAGAGAGAGAGAGAGA